TTCACACTTGGCACTGTAATATACAAAGCTGCTGATAAATTTTATTTTGGCCAGGTGCCGGTGGCTCACACCTGTAATCCTAGCTACTCAGGAGGTGGCTGAGATCTGAGGATCATGGTTCAAAGCCAGCCTGGACAAGGAAAGTCCATGAGACTCTATTTCCAATAAACCACTAGAAAACTGGAAGTGGCGCTGTGGCTCAAGTGGTAGGGTGCTCGCCTTGAGCTGAAGAGCTTAGGGACAGTGCCCAGGCCTGAGTTCAAGCCCCACAACAACAACAAAAAATAAATAATTTTATTTTGCACTTCCTAGAGGAGGGATATGGCTGTCCTCCTCCATAAATAGGGACCACATGGGTTTCCACTATCTTGGGACAGAAGAAGCAATACAACGCTGTCTGGGTGGATGAAGGAGCACTCTTACAAGGGGCCACTATGGAGTAAGCCAGTAGCATTTCCCAAGTAAACATCATGTTTTTTCTTAAAGGAAATTCTGCTAACAGCTCATCCTCAATTATGCTTTGGTTTTTATTATTTCTAGGATTCAACTCAATGGTATGTATAAAATAGTTTGGGATGGGGTTATGTCTCAAACTACAGGAATCCTTTAAAAAGGTCTATTTTAAGTTCAAAGGTCTTTATACAAAATATGATTTCAAACCTAAACCAATCAATCTTAAACAAAATGAATAGACTGTCAGAGCTGGAGATGTGGCTGAGTGGCACAGCATTTGCTTGACATGCACAAGGACTAAGGTTCAATCCCTAAGACCACAAAAAAAAAAGGTGTGTGGTGTAATATGGTGTGTGTTGTGTTTTGTGCTGGTCCTGGGGCTTGGACTCGAAGCCTGAGCATTGTCCCTGAACTTTTTTGCTCAAGGCTAGCTAGGCTAGTGGCTAGGCCCTTTAAGCCACAGTTCTATGTACAGCTTTTGTGGTGGCTAAGTGGAGTTGAGGTTCTTATGGACTTTGCTGTCTTGGCTGGCTTCGAACTATTGGTGTCTAGGTGTGTGGTGTGTGCGTGTGTGTCCTAATTCTTTTTTTTTTGTCAGTTGTGGTGCCTGAACTCTGGGCCTGGGCGCTGTCCCTCAGCTCTTCAGCTCAAGGCTAGCACTCTACCACTTGAGCCACTGCACCACTTCCGGCCTTTTCTGCTTGTGATGCTGAGGAATCGAACCCAGGGCCTCATGCATGCAAGGCAAGCGCTCTACCACGGAGCCAACTTCCCAGTGCCCATTTTACCTAATTCTTAACGCCTTCATTAATAGTGCAGTGAGTCATCCCGGCACACATGAAAGCAGCTTACTATACAAGGGCTTCTCCCCTTCTTTTCATTTTTTGAAGCAGGAATGCTACATAGCTCAAACTGGCCTTGTTTCAGCATTCCCAATGCTGGGGTTAGAGGTGGCTCACTCCTCTTAGCTCCACAGAATTTTCATTTCACATGTAAGCAACACAAAACTGGACCAGTATGGAAATTACCTTATGCAGTATTACCAATGCAGATATTTTTAATGTCCTAAAGACAAGCCTGTCACAGAGAATTATGCAACTCTAGGGGGCTTAAAGACAACTCTGCAGGCTGTTAGCATATATTTATGAGGAAGCATTGCTAGCATAAACCTCAGAATTACAAAAAGATAACATGCTCCCATAATCAAGTCATCTGCCCTGCCCTGCCCCCTCTCTCTCCCCCCTTTCAGTCCCCCCCCCCCCCAGTTATGATGGTTTGAACTTAGGCTTGGGCACTAGATTTGAACCATAATCCTTGGATCTCAGCCTCCTGAGAAGCTAGGATCACACGTGTGAGCCACAGGCTCCAGCTCAAAATCAAGTCTTTTTTGTTGTTGTTGCTGTCTGTCCCGGGCCTGGGCGCTGTCCCTCAGCTCTTCAGCTCAAAGCAACAGCTCTACCACTTGAGCCCCAGCGCCACTTCCAGTTTTCTAGTGGTTTATTGGAGATAAGAGTCTCACAGACTTTCCTTGCCCAGGATGGCTTTGAACCCTGATCCTCAGATCTCAGCCTCCTGAGTAGCTAGGATTACAGGCGTGAGCCACTGGTGCCTGGCTCAGAATCAAGTCTAATAGGTGTGATGGCTTCTTTTCCTTTTATTTTTGTGTGCTGGTCCTGGGACTTGAACTCAGGGCCTGGGTGCTGTCCCTGTGCTTCTGTTGCTCAAGGCTATGTGACTTTTATTCACAGCTCCACTTCTAGCTTTTCTGAGTAGTTTATTGGAGATTAAGAGTTTCACAACCTTTCCAGCCTGGGCAGGCTTCTAACCACGTTCCTCAGATCTCAGCTTTCTGTGTAGCTAGGATGACAGGTGTGAGCCACCAGCAATGGGCTTGATAGTGTATTTTTAACTTAGAAAAACTGCACAATTGTCAATACTGAAGAAAGCAAATACTAAGGACTCAACATATGACTTTAAAGTTTACTTAGGATTACAAAGATAGGTAATTAAAATAAATTGTGCAAACATGTATTACATTAATCTGCACAAATTATGAATTCAATGGTGCATTAGTCCTGTATTCACACAATCAAAACATTATCAGTTACTTTCACTGCTGCTAATGCTCATGCTCCTAAGTGAAATGTGTTGTAAAATCAGGCAGAATGGGCTGCAGAGAGACTCTGGTGGACTTGTAGAATGAATAAGCATTCCTTAATTAGCCCATCAGGTTAAGTGCAAGCATTAATGGGCCTTTCCTAAAGTCTGGCTTGACATCTTTTTCCAAACATGGCCAAGAAGAAAGTTCCATTAGCAATATTAATACAAGCTTAGTTGATCATTTTCATTCAATTAGCTTCTTTCAATTAAATAGATAGCTTGACAAAAGCAGTGATAAAAGACCTGAAGGGACAGCTGATGACTTGCACTGAACATTAGTGTGCGCAAGGTCACTGTGCTAAACGGACTGTAAATCTAGCATTCAATTTGGGAAATGCATTTCTTCTGCTCCCACTCTGCTAATGAGCAATTTTAGCTGACGAGATGTGTTTTCATGGGAAGTCAAGCACCCTTCTCCTTCTCCCTCCCTCTCTTTCTCTCTCTCCCCCCAAACCTCAATAGTTATATTCTCAGTGGCATTTTATTGCCATGGTAACTCTTAACCTCTCGCTGCATGGCTAAAATAAACAAATTTAGAATAATTTATATACAACCTATTATTAAAATATTACCATCCTACCTTTGTTAATCTGCTTTTTAAAGGGTTCAAAAAATCTGTAATATAAGTTTTAGTTAAAAATTAAAGTATTAAACGTGAGTGAGGTGGACTGTTTCCATGGATGGAAACAGAACAGTGAAATCTATTGGAACAGTTTTAGGAAGGAGAGAGGAAGGGAGGGAGGGAGAGGGACTTCTAGGAGAAAGACTGACTGGAATACATGTGCACAAATATCACAGTGACCCCCACCGGCCACCAAATAGTTCATGTACACTTGCTGGGCACTGGTAGCTCGTGCTCAGAATCCTAGTTACTCAGAAGTCTCATCTGAGGATCCCAGTTTTAAGCCACCCTGCACATAAAGTCAGTGAAACTCTTCTCTCCAATTACAGTGACTATCAAAAAGCCAAAGTGGGGCTGTGGCTCAAGGACTGGAGCACCAGCCTTTAGTAAAAAGGCTAAAGGACAGTGCCCTGACTTCAAGCTCCGGGACTGGCGCATGCACACGCACGCACGCGTGCACACACACATTTAAAAGAAAATTATTTATGCTTCACCTACAATACTTTACAGAAAGTGGTTGGGACAATTTATAAAGGATACATAAAAAAAGTTAAAAACAGGGCTTTTAAAACCAAACAATTCTGGGCTGGGGAGGTGGCTCAGTGGTAGAGCGCTTGCCTTGCATGCTTGAGGCCCTGGGTTCGATTCCTCAGCACCACATAAGCAAAAAAAAACATTTAAAATAAAACCAAACAATTCTGAACAATGCAGGCATGGTACTCAGTATACACTCCATGGAAAACGAACTAAATTGGTCATGGAGCTTGAACTCTGAGCCTGGGCACTGCCCCTCAGCTCTTCAGCTCAAGCCTATTAGCACACTACCACTTGAGCCACAGCCCCACTTCTGGTTTTCTGAGTGGTTTATTGGAGATAAGAGTCTCACAGACTTTCCTGCTTGGGCTGGCTTTGAACCGCGATCCTCAGATTTCAGCCTCCTGAGTAGCTAGGATGACAGCCATGAGCTACCACTGCCTGGGTGAACAATGTAATTTGTGGGCAGGGACAGGCGGGGGAAGCTGGAGGAAAGCGAAGGGGCGGCACGGTCACCTCCTGACCCGTGGAACTGACCCCTCCCCCTCTGTGCAGCACCTTCACACCAACAATAAAAACAGGGAACGCTAAAACAAAGATGCTTTTCCAAAAAGTTCTACAACTTAAAAACAATGTCTGAAATGAACCTATACATACTGGACCTTGAACTCAGGGCCTTGCAATCTTGCTTTGACTCTTTTTTGTTTGTTAACCTTGTATGCTGGTAGTAGCACTTGACCTCAGGGCCTCATGTTTTTGCTTGGGTTTTTCTAGTCAGGGCTGACTCTCTGCCACTTGAGCCACACCTCCACTTCGGACTTTTCACTGGTTAGAGATAGGAATTTCACAGCCTCTTTGTCTGGGCTGGCTTTGAATCGTCCCTGATCTTAGCCTTCTGAGTAGCTAAGATTACAGCTATGAACCACTGGTGCCTGGCTCAAACCTTATTGATTCATGTGAAATGAATCAAATGTAACTGAAACCCCTCTGTATATCACCTTTATAATAACAATTCTAAAAAAGAGAAAAATGAATCAAGCCCCAACAAGTCAGCCCCCTGCCCCGAGCACACCTGCTCACCTTGAAGTCAGCGCCCTGCCCCGAGCACACCTGCTCACCTTGAAGTCAGCGCCCTACCCCGAGCACACCTGCTCACCTTGAAGTCAGCGCCCTGCCCCGAGCACACCTGCTCACCTTGAAGTCAGCACCCTGCCCGAGCACACCTGCTCACCTTGAAGAGCTGGACCCAGCGCCTCTGCTCCCTCTGTATGCACTGCTGCATCTCAGAGCTGGTGCTCACCCCGACGCTCTGAAAGGCCACCAGGTACTCCTCACGCACCTCGGGCTTCGTCTCGGGATAGGCCAGCTTGATGATGCCCAGACAGGCGTCGCGCAGACAGCGGGACAGCAGGACAAGCTCCTCCAGAGAGAAAGGCATCATGGATGGCCGTCTCTGGCCTACAGCTGGAGATCCGAAAAAGCTGGAGTGAAAAGATGTACAACTTCCCGCCATCTATGAAAACCCACGGGCCCCATGGGCAGCAGCAAATGACCGCCTAGGTCTCACCTTCGATGGGGTCACCGAAGAACTCATTGTCATGGATAGAAATCAGCGAGTGGCTGAATAGGGAGCTGAAGAGGTAAAAGAGGGGGATGATCCGCCCAGAGTCTTCGAAAGACATGGGGGAGCCCCTGGAGATCACCTGCAGCAACGGCACCATGGACCTTGAGGAGGGAAACAAGAAAAAACACAAAGGGTTATTTTAATAAGATCAGTTTTAGTTTGGGAAGTGATAAAAGAAACAATGCCAGAAATTTTTAGTGAAAATAAAACAGCTCTGCCAGTTATGAATGAAAAAGCTAAGCAAGAGCACAACGCCCCAGGTTCAAAGCCTAGTGTCAGCACATAAAAAACAAGTCAATGTACTCTAGCTCCCTGAAAAGACTGGTAACTAACCAACTTACTTACTATTTGTGTTCCTTAACTGCACGAGGTGAACGCAAACTAACCATTTCAACCTTAACAACAGAAAGTGGAACTGGAGAGATGGGCCAGAAACGTATGGAGGACTGTGTAGCCACTTTCCTGCGATCAACAAGGACTCAAGTGTCCCGCTGCAAACAGTACGAGCTAGTTATGGGAAATAAAACCCAGCATCTACTGAAACATGAACGATTCATTATAACCCAGGGAAGCTGGCCGTGTCACTTACAATCAATGGGACCGCAGACAGGGCTTGCCCTGTGTGTCCCGCCTCAAGGACCAACCAGGAGCACACCCCCAGCTAAAGAAGCTCCGAATAAAATTGTGTCACTTTCAGAAAATGCCACATTTCATCTTAAACTTATTCCCAATGATCGTGTAATGCAACATATATTAGGAATTAATACATTGTTCAAGTTTCTGGAAGGAGTTTAACAAACTAGACAGAACTCAAATTTCCAACTGTCTTTGAAGAAATGTTTTCCAAATTCGTATCTCCTCACAAAGCAGTATTATTTAATGCGATCAACGGCATCACCTTTCTTTCACACCTCATGCCTCATTTCCTCTCTGCAGACGAATGCCGTGCACAGATGATCGGTGATCAGGGGGCTCAGCAGTACCTCTGTTGCTAAGCTGGGGTAAACAATGACTTTATGTCCTAACCATCACCAACCTCTTTACCTCAAGTAAACGTGCTGATCATAAAACCAAGGCAGGCATCCACAGGAGGCAGTAAAGGACAACAAAACCCAGAGTGTGATGGAACACACTCAAGACCAAACTTTTCCTCCTTCTGTAGAAGCGACGGCAGTCTAGTTGTCTCTATCTCTGCTCTGCCGCTCGCTCGGTACTGATTCAAGGAAAATGACCCAACCTTTCTTGAGTTTCACCAGCTTCGGGGGTATTTGTTAAAAGCTCCCTTCACTCACTTAAGTTTCACTGAGGTTAAATGGAACCATGGCAGTCATCCTATCCATCCAACACTAAGCTTTCCCAGGCACGGTGAGATGCAGCTAGAACCCCAGTGCTCGCTCGGGAGGCTGAAGCCCAACAGCAACTGAGGCCAGCCTGGCCAGGCAGTAGTGAGATCCTGTCCCCCAAACCCAAACCAAATGACCAGGATTTAAAAAGCCCATTTCCTTTCAAATAAAGTTCATACTCTTAATTATGTGTGCATACAAGTTAACTGCAAAATGAGGCAGTAATTTCTTTGGCCAACAGGGAAACAATTATTCTAACATGTCACAATAAGCCTATGTAGTACTGAAAAAGACCCCATAGAAGGTTTTACATTAGTTGCGACTTTCCATACACTTGGCTCAATGTGGAAGTCGGCGTGACACATACCCTGTGATCATCTGCGTTGTCATGGAAGAGATGAGAAACCAAAGGTGCCTCAGAAACCTGGCATTGAAGGCTAAGCTGTAGAGGAGCCTGGAAAGAAACGGGGACACACAAGGATAAGCCAGTGGCCATTTAACACACGTCTTAAAGCCAGCACAACAACGAATGCTGTGAAGACAACACACACTCTTAAAACACAAAGAGCACGCGTAGTACAGCCTTCAACAGATGCTGGAGGCTCTGAGACCGCTCCACACAGGGTGTGCTGGGGCTTTCCCCCCACAAGCTGAGCATGCTCTCTCCTGGCAGCATATCGTATCAAAACACTACTCAAAAGTAACACTACTCATAGGCAAGCAACAACACTAAGATCCTCGAGGCGCATTTTATGTCAGTTCCCTTAAACACAAAAATGTCAAAATAAGCCGGGCGCCAGTGGCTCACACCTGTCATCCTAGCTACTCAGGAGGCTGAGATCTGAGGATCGCGGTTCAAAGCCAGCCCAGGGAGGAAAGGTCCATGAGACTCATATCTCCAATAAGCCACTAGAAAACCAGAAGTGGTGCTGTGGCTCAAGTGGTAGAGAGCTCACCTTGAGCTGAAGAGCACAGGGACAGTGCCCAGGCTCAGAGTTCAAGACCCATGACCAGCACACACACACACACACACACACACAAAGTCAAAATATACAAAAAACATTGCCTACATTCTCAGCTATTCAGGAAACAGGAAGGTTATAGTTTGAGGTCTGGGTAAAAATGTTAGCAAGACAGTAACACACACAGGTCCCATGTGGCACATACACCTGTGTTCCCAGCTGTTGGCTAGACACACACACACACACACACACACACACA